GCCATCCTAGAATAACAGTGGTTTTGACTGACAGGGTTCTCTTTTTTCTTTCCCAGACTAAACTAAACTACTACAAACTATAAAAATTGTTGGCGGATTGCTGTGTTGTTGTTTTCAGCAGTGCCTTGAGCCATTAAATTGTTCTCCAATCTGAGTCAATTAAATAAATCCAGGCTCTTTTAAACTGATTATTTTTGAGGTCATTGTTTGAGAGTTCTGAGCCCTGTAGGCTCTTTTTTTTTTTTTTTTTCTTAAATATTTATTTATTTGACAGAGAGAGAGAGATCACAAGTAGGCAGAGAGGCAGGCAGAGGGGGAGGCGGAAGCAGGCTCCCTTTCTGAGCAGAGAGGCTGATGTGGGGCTCAATCCCAGGACCCTGAGATCATGACCTGAGCTGAAGGCAGAGACTTAACCCACTGAGCCACCCAGGCGCCCCCCTGTAGGCTCTTCTTAGCTGTTTTGTTGGTTCTCTCTGGTAATGGGGGGAAGCTGATGATTTAGCTTATATTAGTATCCAATCTGCTGGTCTCCTTTGAATTGCTTTTCCCCACACCCTCCACTGTTTTGAGAGAGCCCTCTGTCTTAAACTTCCTAACACACTTATGAATAAAGTAAGTTCCTTTGGTGGGTACCTGGGTGGCTCAGTCGTTAAGCTTCTGCCTTCTGCTCGGGTCATGATCCCAGGGTCCTGGGATCAAACCCCGCATCAGGCTCCCTGCTCAGCGGGATGCCTGCTTCTCCCTCTCCCACTCCCCCTGCTTGTGTTCCCTCTCTTGCTGTGTCTCTCTGTCAAATAAATAAAATCCTTAAAAAAAAAAAAAAAAAAAAAAAGTAAGTTCCTTTGGAAAGAGAATTGGGAGCTCACTGTTTTAAGGCCTGTCTCTAGGTAAAACCTGAGCTTGGTAACTTTTCCTTACTCAGTATTTCTTCATTTGCTGTATGTCCTTAGGACCTTTTCCCTTGACTTTAAAGGGTTGTGTTGTTCTATAGTCTTCATCAGTTTTACTACGGAGAAGGTTCACATAGCTTATCAAGTTGTCATGCTGGAAGTGTATCCTCTGATGTATTTTTAGGAAGATTTTTTAAACCTTAATTCCAAAAATCTGATAAGGATAATGCCAAGATGAAACTGTAGGATAAAGAATAAAGTGTTAAGTATAATATTAGTAATTACCAATATAGTAGAGATTCAAGTGTATACTACATTTTTTTTTTTTAAGGTTTTATTTATTTGACAGAGAGAGACACAGTGAGAGAAGGAACACAAGCAGGGGAAGTAGGGGAGGAAGAAGCAGACTTCCTTCCCACCAAGTGGGGAGCCCGATGCAGGGCTCAATCCTGGGACCCCTGGGATGATGACCTGAGCCAAAGGCAGAAGCCTAACGACTGAGCCACCCAGGCGCCCCATGTACTACACTGTAATTTAGTATGTTTCTGGAATACAAGGATGGTTCAGTAACAAATTAGCAACAGTATCAGTGTGAAATGCTGGAAATGAAAACTTTATATGCAAATAATGTGATTATATTCTTAGAAAAGCTGAATGATTCCAACAGAATGGTCTTAGAATTAATAGAATGTGATAAAGGGATGGAATTCAAGATAATATCCAGAAAGAAATAGCCTTTCTCCATTCTGGTAATACCCAGTTAGAAATGAAAATGGGGAAAAACTGGGGTGCCTGGGTGGCTCAGTGGGTTGAGCCTCTGCCTTCAGCTCGGGTCATGATGTCGGGGTCCTGGGATCTAGTCCCGCATTGGACACTCTGCACAGAGGGGAGCCTGCTTCCCCCTCTCTCTCTGCCTGCCTCTCTGCCTACTTGTGATCTCTGTCAGATAAAGAAAAATCTTTTAAAAAGGGGGGGTGAAAAATCTATTCACAGTAACCCCAAAGTATATAACACAACTAGGAATATAGATTTAAGAAGATAGATATGGGATCTTAAATGCAAAGGATAGGAAATAAAAATTCAACTGAATAGAGGAATATATGGCGTTCTTCTTAAGAGACTTAACAACAGAACAGAATAAACATGTACATCTCCCCGCATTAATGTGTACAGTTCACGGGATTCCAGTCATACTTTGGGGAGGGGGACTCGATGAAATTGTTTTAAAGTTTATGTTGTAGAATTAAGTCTAACAATAGTCAAGAAAATTATAGAAAGGGTGGTAATTGAGTTCAGGGAGTTGGTTTAGCAAATACAACTTTTTTTTTTTTTTAAGATTTTATTCTTTTATTTATTTGACACAGAGAGAGAGAGATCACAAGTAGGCATAGAGGCAGGCAGAGAGAGGGGGGAAGCAGGCTCCCTGCTGAGCAGAGAGCCTGATGCAGGGCTGGATCCCAGGACCCTGAGATCATGACCCGAGCTGAAGGCAGAGGCTTAACCCACTGAGCCACTCAGGCACCCCAGCAAATAGAACTTTTTTAAAGCCACTACAATTAAAATGTGATATTGGCATAGTAATAAAGCGGTGGAACCAGAATAGAGTCTAATGAAAGATGCCGGTATGTTTTGGAACTTAGTAATTGTCAAAGTCAGTACTTGTTCCTTCTCTGAAACTCAGGGGCCAGATATTTTCAAATTAGTTTTTGGATTTCCAAACAGCTACGTGGTAATGATCACTAACATCCCTAGTGGCACCTGGGAGAGTGACTTGTAGTTGAACTATCAGTAATGCTTCAAATGACTTATAGAAGTGGGATAAATAAAGATGGTATAAAAATACAATGGAGGGATGCCTGGGTGGCTCAGTTGGTTAAGCGTCTGCCTTAGGCTCAGGTCATAATCCCAAGATCTTGGGATAGAGTTCCCACATCATGCTCCTTGCTCAGCGGGGAGGATGCTTCTTCCTCTGCCTACCACTCCCCCTGCTTATGCCAGTAAGTAAATAAAATCATAAATCACACACACACACACACACACACACACACACACACACACACACAATGGAGCTTAGGAGAAAACTCTTCCTCTGGATTTAAGATTTGTGGAGAAGGGATTATTACAGACCTGTATGTCAACTTAATGGAGAAACAATTGTTTATCTCATTAGTTTCTGGGGAAAAAAGCTGGACCCCTAACCTACTACCATATATTAAATTCCAGAAATAATGTGAAAAATAAAAGAGCAAAATTTAGAATCTTACCTGGATTACACAAAGCCTTCCTGAGCAAGCCAGGAAACCCAGAGGTCGTGGAGAAGATGACCTTCTAGAATGCTGGGCAAGGGGCCCCGTGTGTCTGTCAGATCACTCACATTCACTGGTGGACACGGAAATGCCAAAGGCCTCATCCTTTTTTCTTTCCTTCAACCACATAAATATTCAACAGGGCTAACATCTGATGCTGCTTAGGAGACAAAGGGATAAGTATATTGTTTTAGTACAGGCGGAGGAAGCCCAACTTACTATAGCTTAATACAACTTTTTGCAGAGGACTGAGGCAGCACACTGTGGGGAACCTGTTGGGTAGCACCAATATGGAAGTATTTAAGTTTATTCTGGTGGTGTTTGGTTCTTGTAGCAAAATCTGGACACCATGTAAATGGGCTTCCCTTGGGAGCTGTGTGTACATCTCCGTGCCTACAGGGAGGAGGATCATGTGTTGGCAAGTAAGGAGTTGCAGAGGAAATGGTCTGATCTCACATCCTAATTGTACATCTTTAACTTGTTTCATTTTGAGCATGCATGAGGACTATCCATATTTTCCCCAAATAGTAGAGAAAATGAATAAAGAAGAAAAGGTGAAGGTGGGAAAAGGAAATAGAAACAGCAAGTGAGAGGATGATGTAAGAGTTGGCTGGGGTGCAGCAGTAGGACTCCTGGGGGTGGGCTCCCCACGCCAACAGAAATAGCTTTTATCTTCTTTCAGCTTATGGCTTTACACATACATTATCTTCATAATGATGAAAGTGAGATTTGCCTGTACCTACGCTACTGAGGAAACCACTTAGCATTTTGGTATAAATCCTTCCAGACAAAAATACCCTGGCATACTATACACACTGGCCCATCACAGACCTTTCTCACCACACAGGAGATGAACCTTTTTTTTTTTTTTTTTTTAATTTTATTTATTTACTTGAGGAAGACAGGGTACAAAAGCAGTGGGGAGGGGCAGAGGGAGACTCCCTGCTGAGTGCGAAGTCCCATGTGGGCTTGATCCTAGGACCATGGGCTCATGACTTGAGCTTTAGTCAGTGGTTTAACCAATTTAGTTATCCAGAGGCCCCAGAGGTGAGCCCTGTCTTAAGGACTGCATGGGGTTCTTTAGAATGTTTTAACTACTTCACAGAACTTTTAGGTGCTTTCCAGTTTTTCACTACTGAAACTATGTGCATGAATGTTTCCAAGTCTTAAACTTAGGATAGAGTCTTGTAAAGAATTACTGAGACAAATTTTTGAGACAAGCTTTTGCTTTTGATACATTTTATCAAACTGCTTTCCAGAAAGTAAGTAAACAGTTGACCCTGTCACCCTCAGGGTAGAAGGGTCTCTCTTCAGTGGGCTAAAAGGAGGTATATCATTTAAATGTACTGTTTGACATTTGTATTCCTGTTCTTATATCCTCCCTGTTAATCTTAAAAAGTTCCTTACATATGGGCAGTTGGCTTGTTACGGGTTGCACCTCTGGCTTTTCATAGGTTTCCTAATTTGTTCACTGTTTGTAGTTTTTATGCAAGCACATCAGATTTCTGCTGTACAGCCGTAAAGACATATGTCTTTAATCAATTACATACAGTACGTATTGTGTGGAAGAATGGAGCATTCGAGCAAAGATCAGATCAGGTCTTGGCTCCGTGCTTGTAGAGTGGCCCTACGCTTGTACCCAAGGTACACTTGTACACTGATTTCACCATGTGGTTAGAGTGCTTGGCTGTCCTGAGCTGGGGGCAAAGGGGTTTGGGAGGACTCTGCAGATCTGGTGCGGTGGGGTAGGGGGGCTTTCTGGCGCCCAGAGCAGCCTCTCCAGCCCTACCTGCCTTGCCTGCAGCTCATGATGGAGCAGTCCAAGAAGTCCTCGCTCATGGTGGCCCGCAGCATCCTCAACAACAAAATCATCAGCAAGAAGCTGGAACGCTACCTGAAGGTGAGGCGCGCCGGCCCCTGGCACCTGGCACCTGGCCCCCACGGGTCCTTCCCTCGCTTCAGTGTTGGCCTCCTTCCCCACAGGGTGAAAACCCGTTCACTGATAGCCCCGAGGAGGAGAAGGAACAGGAGGAGGCCGAGGGCGGCGCCCTGGACGAGGGAGCGCTAGTCGAAGCGGCAGGGGGCGCCGAGGGTGCAGATGGCGCGCCGGCGCAGCCCCCTGTGCCCCCGGAGCCAGCGCCCGAGGCCGCGTCCCCACCACCGCCACCGCCGCCCCCAGAAGAGGAGGAGGAGGAGGAGGCCGTGCCCCTGCTGGGCGGGGCGCTTCAGCGCCAAATCCGCGGTATCCCGGGCCTCGACGTGGAGGCCGACGACGACGAGGAGGGTGGCGGGGGCGCACCGTAACCCGGGCCCCAGGCGGGCAGGACCCGCGTGGCCAAAGATGGAAGCTAGGCCTAATAAAGCTCTTCCGATCCCACTTCTAGTTCGTTTGTTGGTGTGCAGCAGGGTCGCCGCAGTTGGGAGCGGTGTGCGCCTGCGCGCGGGACCCGGGAAGGGGTGGGGGAGTGCGCCTGCGCACTGGCGGCAGGAAGGAAGACGGAAGCGCCTGCGCGCAGTAAGACTCCGTGGCCGGACCAAAACTCCCAAGATGCTGTGAAAGCCGAGCCCAAGCAACCGGAAGGCCCACAGGGGCGAGAGGGGCGGGTGCGCAGTGAAAGCTAGCCAATGGTGGTGTGCGGAAAGAGTGACGTATGCGTCTGGTTTTCCAGTAGCGGGCGGCGGAAGGTGTGTTGAGCGCATGCGTCCTGTGGCAGCCTAGAAAAAGGGGCTGCTGGCGGTCCGAGCTGAAGACATGGAGCAGGGCTACGGAGGTTCGTCGGGGTGGCTCAATGCGGGGTGGAGGCAGACGGGTGCTCCCTCGGCAACGCAGCTACGGCTGCGTAGAGGGCCGCGGACTCGGGCCTACGCCGGAGCGCGGTTACTCTAGCCCGACCCGCGGAGAGGAGGCCGGGGCGCGCGCGCGCGCTGCTCATTGGACCTAGGAGCCGTCGCTCCCGGGGCGCTGCGTGCGGATTGGTCGGCCAGGCTTGAGGAGGCGGGCGGGGTTTGGCGGGCAGACGCTGCGGCGGGCTTCGGGGGGCGCCTTGGGCTGTCCTGGCCGTTTCTACCCCTCAGTCCCAGCGAGGCTGGGCCGGTGGACCCGGCTGCTCGGAGGCCCGCCTTCCCCTTCCGAAGACCACAAAATGGCGGCGCCCGGGGGCGGAGCCACAGCGAGAACTCGTGGGGCGCGGTGTCCGCGGTTGGAGCCCGAGGGAGTTGGGCTGCCTGTCTCCGGCCTGTGGGGCTTCGCGGGGGCCTGCGCGCTGTGCACGTGGTCGGTCGCGCGGGTCCCGGAAGCCGTCCAGGCGGCGCGGCGTCAGACCTTTCACCTCCAGTCCCGCGGTGCAGCGCAGTGGTTTTGAGCACGGACTCTGCAAGGGTCAGTCTCGGCGGACTCTTGCCCTGTGCAGGACTCGTGCTGGCCTAGGGACAAGACTTCGGGGTCAGGTGTTGGGTGTCTTTCTGTGCGTTGGGGGCGGGGAGGGGGGGTGGCCTGGAGGTGGCTGAGCGCTGTGAAAGAGGGAGTGTGCCGCTTGGGCCTCGCAGCCTGCGGCAGGACGGATCTTCTCTAGCGGCAGGGTCTCAGTGTCAAGAATCAGAGGTTCCTCAGAGGCGTTTACTCCGTGCTGGCAGTCAGGTTTGCCCGGAGGAAGCAGCCCAACTTTGGAATACGTGGGATAGGACTTGACCAGGTGCAGTCCTTATCCAAGTATGTGAGCTTGGAGAAGCAAGCAGTCTGATCTCGGCCGCAACCGCTAGAGAAGGCACAGATCTTGAAAGGTGGCAGTGTGAGGATCCAGCAGCAGGAATTGCAAGAGAGGTCCTGAGGTGCACGGTGTGCTTTGCCTCCAGGGTCCTGGGGTGCCTCACCCTGGCTTCTCCCCGTTTTTTCTGCAATCTGATGGGGTTTCGCAGTTTTTTGCCTGCTTCCCGCCAGATCTCTCAGACAGTAATCCTGCCCCATGTACACACCCTGAGCATGAAGAGGTTTTGTTTCCCTCACTTCCTGTTTGCCAAAACCTTCAGGCTCAGTTTAGGTGGTGGGACCTCCCTAAATTCTTCCTAGCTTTGGCACCTAGAGTTATTTCTCAGTACTTTCTGAGTCTTGACAGTTGTTCTCTGGCTGTGGGAGGTATCTAGATCTGTGTTCAGGTCCCAGTTCTTCCATTCTCCAGCTCCAAGATCATGGGCAAGTGACAGCCACTTGAGCCTCTGGGTACAACAGGGTAATTATTACCCACCTAAAGGGGCATTGTGAGGTTATGTGATTAGCGTGTGCTACTTAGACCATCACCCGGTAGTTGGTCATCTGCTGATAGACTCGCTGCTTGGTCTTTCTACCTCACACGTGTAGAAGGCTGTGTGGCATGGGGAGACTGTAGCCTGGAGAGGGCAAACATCAGCGGCATGTCTTTGGATCAAGTACCCTAACCTTTAAGCGTTAGCTTTCTAATCTCTAAATGGCATTCAGGGACACTAACGTGTGCTCAGTGCCTGTCATGTGTCAGCACACGTTGGACACTTAGCTAGTGGCTTGGGTTGCTCTGTGAGAGAGACAGGGTGTATTCCTGTTCTGTAATGTTGGGGATTGTTGACGGGTGTGGATAGCTGCCCTTTCCCAGCTCTGTTTGAGGTTCCAGGAACAGAGAAATGACATGCCCAGACAGATGCTGTCATGGGAGTCCACAGGGGCAAGGGAAGCCACCACAGAGAGGAGTGCTACCTGGATACCTTAGGCCAGGCTGAAGCTCTGGGACTTGAAGGCCCAGGGGAGCACTGGAGGGTCCAAAGTCACAAAGAAGTGAGGCCTGCAGTGGCACTGTTGCCATCTCCAAATTCTGAACCTTGTTTTTCAGTTATGGGGGACTTAGGGCTGCTTGGTGAGCCAAACCGCCCCCAGGGTACGGACACAACTGTGTCCTCCTACCGGGCCACCTGGCATTTTGTCCTGTGTTCTCCTAAGTTGTGGATTGAGACTTAGGCCATGGTCCCTCAGCAGGCTGCTGGCAGAGCTGGCCCCAAAGCCTATTCTCCCCAACTCTTTTTCTGCTTTGACCTCAGGCAGGTGGAGTGTGGTAATGCAAATCAACCAGCTGTGGAGAACTTTTAGAGGGACAGTGTGCATTCTGGTGCCTTGTGAGGCTGACATGGAACTCTCCTTAAAGGCGATCACTTTTGGCTCCTCAGAGCACCTCAGGAGCACCTCTTGTCTAGTGTGACAAATAGGATCCTAACTCACAGTTCTTCTCTCCGCAGGCTATGGGGCATGGAGTGCTGGACCTGCCAACACCCAAGGTAAGACCTTATGGGGAGGCGCAGATTCCACCCCCACAGGTCTGATCTGAGGTACCATCATGACAAACCTAGGGACCGTGAACTGGAACCTGGGGAGGCTGACAGGAGGACTGGCACTAGCCTGCAGATCCAGAGACCTTTTCTGTAAAGGGCTACACAGTGAAATTTGTTTTGGCTTTGGGAGCTACACAGTCTCTGCAATGCAGGAGTCACAGAGGTGTTTAGAGAGAAATAGATGTGGCTATGTGCAGGTGATATTTACTTAAGAGCGCTGAAATTTGCATACCATGTAATTTTCATGTGTGATAGTCTTCATTTTAGGCATTTGGGTTATTCTAAGTAAATAGCCAGGGGTTTAATGAAAGATTTTTATGACTAATAGACTTTATTTTTCAACAGTTTTAGACTTACGGGATTAAGCAGATAATACAGAATTCCATATGATTTCTCTACTTTTCAACCCAGGAGTTTCCCTTATTATTAATATTTAGCATTAGTGGGAAACATTTATTGTCAGCAACGAGTCAGGGTCGATACACTGTTGTTAGTTATGATCCACAGTTAATACTCACTGGTTGCATGTTCTGTGAGTTTTGACAAGTATATGAAAGACGCAAAGGATGCATTTCACGTCATGAAATATTCTTTTTTTTTTTTTTTTTTTAATCTGCAACCATTTAAAAAAGTAAAACCCATTCTTAGCTTGCTGGCTGTATAAAAACGGGCAGCGGGCTAGATGTGACATGGGGGCTTGACTGCCGCCCCTGCTCTGGAATCCAGATCACAAGGCTCTCTATGCTTGAAGGACCCAAATGTCCTTCCTGGTGGTGAAGTTTTCTGCTTTTTGCCAGCATTTGTTCTAGGGGATGAGCTGAGGGCCCTCCTTGTTTTCAGAGCCTGGAACTTGCCCCTAGCACCATTGAGGGTGGTGGAATCACTTTTTCACCCATCACTAAGTTTTAAAGGAGGAGGCCCTTCATGTCACTAGGGTACATAATGTCCCCTTCCTCAGTTGAGTCGAGGACATGATTTTCCACTGATACATTGTCTGTGCTGATGGTGCCTGAGCTCCGGCTGCTGGTGAGAACTGGCAGTTTTAAAGGGCTCTGCCAGGGGATCTGGCCTCTTGGCTGGTGGCCCACGCTGGACACTTCCTGGGAATGCTGCAGCGTCCTTTCCGCTTGTTCTACTCGGGGAGACGGGGCTTGCCTACAACAGAAGTCTTGGTTATGCTTAGCTGAGTGCTCCACACAGGAAATGAGTTTTACAGCTTGTGGGCCCCAGCCATTCCTGGCCTTATTGGACAGCCAGGGGTGCCTCCCACAGACTGCCACCTGCGGCCCTGGACCTGTGGGTAGTAGAGTGAGGGGATGGTTGGCAGGGCTATTTTAGGTACCTTCACTCTGTATACAAAGCTCTTGTCTGTTTTTGTTTCCTCTAAGGTGCCTACGGAACTGGTGTGGCCAGCTGGCAAGGTAGGCCCTTTGGGTGTCTGTGAGTGGGCAAGATGTTCCTCTGGTCAGACAACCAGAAGGGCTGGGACACAGGGACCTCCCATCCCCACCTCCCATTCTAGCTGGGCTTGTAGCTCTCCTGAAGACTTGGCAGGTCCAGGCATTCTCAAGGAGAACTTGTTGGAGGCCAGGGTTGTGGTTGTGTTCTGGGAGCAGCAGCCCCCACTGCCGCTTGTGCATTCTCAGCCATCTCTGGCTTTGGATAAGGAACAAGACTTCGGATCTGGCATGGAAAACCTAACCGCTCATTGCTGAGGCTGCATCCCTGCCCTTCTCCTGCTGCCTTTTGGCAGGCGATGTGCACAGTGTGGGGTGATCCAGTGACACTTGGTTCCTTGACACTCTTCCTTCATTATGGGTAGTGGGTGCTTCTCCCCAGATGTGTCTGCCATAGACTGACTTTGTGGCTTGGCTCTTCCTCCCTGTGGCAGGTTATGAAAACTACAATTATTATGGCGCACAGAACACCAGTGTCAACACAGGAGCGACCTACAGCTATGGCCCAGCCTCATGGGAGGCCACCAAGGCCAGTGATGGCCTGGGAGCTGGGGGCCCTGCCGTGCACATGGCTTCTTACGGCCCAGAGCCATGCACCGACAATTCCGACTCCCTCATTGCCAAGATCAACCAGCGTTTGGACATGATGTCCAAGGAAGGAGGCAGGGGCGGGAGCAGCGGCGGTGGGGAGGGCATGCAGGACCGGGAGAGGTGATTATGAACCTGAACCCTTCCCTGAGGATCCCCCCCCAGCCCCAGCTTTGTGCAGATGACAGTGGGCACCCCCTCTTCCAGGGAGGGTTTTTCCCCAGCTCACTCCTGAGTGTGGGAGTAGATGAGATGGGCAGAGGCATCGCAGTGGGACTATTTGTGTCTGGGGTGGTGGGGCTTAGCTAAACTACACCAGTGCTAGACTTCTTATTTCTGCATCAGGTACCTGTAGATCTGTTCTTGTGGCCAAGGGTTTCATGTACCTCATTCAGCAACATCCAAGGGGGTTTGTGTGTTGTGCCTTCCCAACATTGAGGAGACCTCTGTGGTGGTGTGGTGTGCTGTTCTGAATATAGGGAAGCCAGATGTGAAGGAGACCTGGGCTTGTACCTGGATTATAGTGACGGTTATGCTTCCTTTCCAGCTCCTTCCGCTTCCAGTCGTTCGAGTCCTATGACTCCAGGTCTTGCCTCCCCGAGCACCATCCTTATCGCCCCAGCTATAGCTACGATTATGACTTTGACCTGGGGCCTGACCGAAACGGTGGCTTTAGTAATCAGTACAGTGACTGCCGAGACCCAGCCCGTGAGCGGGGCTCCCTTGATGGCTTCATGCGGGGCCGGGGCCAGGGCCCGGGCCGCTTCCAGGACCGGAGCAACCCCAGCACCTTCATGCGCAGCGACCCTTTCATGCCGCCTGCAGCCCCCTCAGAGCCCTTGTCTGCTCCCTGGACAGAGCTGAACTATGTGGGTGGGCGGGGCCTCGGAGGCCCCTCCCCCAGCCGGCCACCGCCTTCCCTGTTCTCCCAGTCCGTCGCCCCTGACTTCGGTGTGATGGGCATGCAGGGGGCCGGCAGTTATGACAACTCGGTGTCCTATGGATGTGGCCGGTCACAGACCCGGATGAGGGATCGGGTAAGCCCTCAGGAAGTTCTAATCTGCCGCCTTCTCAAAACAGCTGGGTAGAGGCAAATGTGTGTCCCGTAAGATTCACTCATTTTTTAAATGCACGATCAGGTTTTAGTAAAAATGTACAGAATTGTGCAGCCTTCACCAGCATCTAATTTTATAACATTTTCATCAGTTGGGAAAGATGCAAACCTCTACCATTAGCAGTCATTCCCCATCCTCGCCTCCAGCCTTGGCAAGCACTAATCTGCTTTCTATCTTTGTAGAGTTGTCTCTCCCAACCTTTCATGTGAATGCAATCACATAACGTGTGGCCTTCTGTGTCTGACTTCTGCTCGGCATGAAATTGGGGATGGGGGCATGGCTCAACTATGTATTCTCCCTTTGTTTTCTGAAAATATCTTTTCTGCCTCTTCTCTGATGTTACAACCTCTCCGTTCTTCGTTTCTCTGGGGTGTCTTAATGGTCCGGGTAAGTGGTACATCAGATGTGCTTGTGTCTGTAGCCCAGGCGGAGAGGGTTTGACCGCTGTGGCCCAGATGGCATGGGCAGAAAACGGAAGCAGTTCCAGATCTACGATGAGCCAGATGCCAAACTGGCCCGGGCTGATAGCGAAGGAGATTTTTCTGAAAACGGTAGGCCCCGGGGGGTGTAGGATGAATCTGTTTCCTGCTCAGTACTCTACCTGCCTGCCCATACATACAGTGGACAGGTGTTGAACTCGAGGGTGGCGCATGTCACCCACTCTCCCGCGGCCCCCACTGCCGTTAGCGCAAGCACGGTCACTCTGGACAGTGAACCTGGGAGGGTGAAACAAGGAGTGGACCAACTCCCAAGGGGCTGACTTTCTCTCTCCTTTGTGTCTGGTAGATGATGGAGCTGCTGACTTCCGGTCAGGAGATGAAGAATTCAGGGGTGTAAGTCCATCTTCACTGGTCACCCTTTTTTGTTTCTCTAGTGTGGGATTTTTTCTTTACTTAGCCTTTTTCTCCCAAAGAGGCAGGAACAGCTTCTGTGGTAGACTTGATTGCTTTGTGAGTGGATTTAATAGCCTGACTTGCAGCTAGGTTTCTAAGAGTTTTGCACTCATGACAATCCTTCCCTTCTTGGAAAAAATCCCGGCCATTCCTGTGTCGTCAGTGATTTGCATAGCAAACGCGGGCTGTGTGGGCCGAGGCTTTCGTACTCGTGTCCTGCCACCCCTGTGCTGGTGCTCAGCTGCCTCCTTGTCATCAGCCCTTAAAGCCAGTCACAGGAGATAGGCATTAAAGGCCACCCTGAGCCATGACCACACACGAGCACCTAGGTGGTGAGCCTTTGCTGCCCCTGCAAACTCTAATCCATGTCTGGGGGTAGCCTGGAGACCTGGATGTGTGAAGACTTCGACCAAGTGCTTCTGATGGTCCGATTGGGGCGGGGGTGGGGGGGCGTGTCTCACTCGCTCCCTAATTGGTTTGCTTAGATCTCGAGTCTGGGAATCTCTGTGTCTCTGCTGGTGACTTACTTACTCTTGAGCTGAATGCCTAAGAAATGGGCGATGTTTCGATTTTCAGTTATAGATGCATCATTTTTAATCCACACCTGGTTTGTTATAGCCTTTGGTAAATATGAACCGAAGGCTGGGGAGCATGGTAAAGCCCTTTTTCGGGTGAGCATGCTGGAGCTAGCATCCTGTCAGTCAGGGTTTCTTGACATAGAGCTGATGGATGGGCTCTCGGCACTCCCACGTGCAGAACTGCGCAGGTACACAGTTACCAAGGGCAGTTCTTTGGCCGTAGAAAGAACCAGAAAAGAGCCAGTGACTTTACTAGAAAAGCAGCTGGTCATTGCAGAATCTCAGAAGGCAACCAGGAGCAGTGACAGAACACGCTCAGCCTCTCCCACTGCCCTGGGACTTGTCCTGACACATTGTGACCAGGTGGTGGCAGGGTGCTAGGTTGGTTGTGGAAAGTTATGGAAACTCCACCTCATAGTCCGACTTTGTGTGTTCCCTTTTTCAGGAGGATGAATTCTTCGACCCCGGGAGGCAGAGAGGTAGGCATTGCTTGGTGTCCCTCTGAGCTTTCCCGTGTCTGCTCAGCTCCCAGCTGGGCTGGCCTTCTGAGCAAGCCTGGGGCCTGGATGCAGGGACTGGTGGCTCAGGGCAGAAGAGAGGCCGTGGCCACTGGGTGGGCCTTGGCCATGGTGCTCACCGTGAGGCCTTACTCCAGTGCTTAGAAGAGCACTTGCTGGAAACAGATCTGTTTGCCTCACTTGATGGCAGGCTGTGGCGGGGGAGTGGGGGAACACCTCATTTCTGAGTGTCTACAACAGCTTGCAGTGGTAGGGAAGGGAGAGTCTCAGAAATGAAAGAAAGGCGCTCTCCAGCCCGTCTTCTGTGTTACTTATTGGCCAGTGCAGATCCCTCTACTGTCTTTTCCTGGGCTTCTTTCTTTCCTCATAGTTCCTCGGCTGCCAGCCTAGGCTTGTGCCCTCAGCTTCTGTGGTGGGGATGCCGGCAGCAGCAGTCCTCCTATGCGGGACGGAGTTTAGACACCTGCCCCGGTTGGGAGCTGGGGTGGGGGGAGGGGAGACCTGTCAGGTACACCCAAGCCCGGGATCCTCCAGAGACTCGTTGCTCAGCAGGGCTCACCAGTGCCCTCGCAGGGCACCTGCAAGTCCAAAATAAATGGCAAGAGCAGAGCAAAGTTAAACCTTCTCGACGGGCCATGGAGAAGCAGCCTGAGACTATGTGGCCTTGAGCTTACCCAGAAACCACTTGTTTCGTTTCCTGTTCCCATGGGTCTGTCCGTAGCTGGTTTTCCCCAAGAATCACAGGCTGCCTCCTTTGTGGCTCTGCTCCCGTCAATCTGCAGGCCCCTGGCTTAGATCCTCCTCCTGTGTGTTCAGGCTGAGCCACCCTGCTGAGGTCCTCCCGCCTCAGTCCTGAAGCAGTTATGCCTGTAGCTTGGGACCACACAGCATTTAGCAGCTCGTGCAGCAGGGCAGATGCTAAAGCAAAGGTGACATGTTTATTGCGCGCAGGTCCTGCTGCCTACCCGGGATGACTTTGCTATTAAACAGCAGTAATAGTTTCAGGCAGTGACCTCTTGCCAAAAACCCCACACGCCCTTTTGAGAGGCTTCTGAGCAGCGCACGCCGGTCGCCATCTTCGTGGGACAGTCTCGTGACTGGCATCAGGGGTAGGGGTTACAGTTCAGATGCTTATCCAACCTTTCCTTAGTGTCTGGCCCTGGCCCTGAGCCGCAGTGGCCTGGCCTGGCCTGGCCTGACGCTGGGACGCTGGGCTGCACAGCTCTCGGAGGAGCTCCTGCACTGGCCCCAGGGGACGACGGAGGACCAGTTGGTCTCTTCCCACTTTTGTTTCTAGGACTGCTTCCCTCGTAGCCCTGGGAAGGCCCTAGATGGACTGTTTTTGTGAGTGGAAGATAGAGTTTGGGCCAGCAAGGACTGTCAGACCTGCTGAGGCCCTAGTTCAGAAGAGGCTGACGGGACAGTCGTCATGGTCCACCTAGAGGTGGGACGGAGGGCGGTAGAGTGGCTTGCTTTATTTTCTGAGGCCTTCCATCTGCTGCCTCTTTATCTGGGAAGAACTGCTTCTCTCTCTCCTTAAGTGACTTTGGGAGAAGACCCAATGGTAGGGCACTGGATCGGAAAAGCAGGATAGGAAAGGACAAAGAGAGCAGGTGGGCCATGGTGTGAGTGGGATGGGCGGACTGGGTCTTTGGCCCATCCCAGCCTTATCAGGCCATGGGGCGGGGTAAGGTGACTCCCTGGGAACTCCCAAGGGTTCTCATCAAAGGCGCATCCCTGTTGGGAGCCTTTGACAGACTATTGGTGCCTCAGGGTGTCCTGACCCTGCCCTGTGTGGAGGCAGCGGCGGGTACGGGGGCGTAGTGGCCAAACTGGCCCCCACCCCCATCAAGGCCCTGGTGCTCAGCTCCTCTGTGGGCTCTTCAGGGCGTCTCGAAGGAACTTATCTGTTGCAGGAGAGAAGGACGATGAAGATGATGAAGTAAAGAAGAGAAGAGAAAAGCAAAGGAGGAGAGACCGGATGCGAGACCGAGCGGCCGACAGGTGAGGCAGGCAAAGTGGGAGGTTGGCCGGAAGCTGAGCACTGTCAGGGTTCTCTGGAGCCCATCTGTCTTCACTCCACAATGCAGGAGCAGCTCGGTTTGATCTGCCTCTGGAGCCTGTCAGGAAATCCGAGTCAGGTGGAGAGAAGACAAAACTGGGGAAACAGATGGCATTCTGTTCTTGCCAGTGGGTCTCTGTGGCCCGCATGTATCCAGCAGGGGGCTCTCTTGCTCTCTGCTCCCCTCCGGGGAGTTTCCTTGCCCCTGGTTTGTATGTGTCACTCCGGAGAGGTGAACTTCATTCAGCAGAACTGCTAAGAAGGTGCTTTGGGTGTCTTATCCAAATCCAGACCACCTCCAGAGTTCAACATGGCAATTACGTATACAAGGATAGTACCTTACAGATTTTGCCTCTAAACAGAAAAAGAATTGCAAAAGTGTGAAGGGTGTTGGTGTGACCACACCATGTGCCTCTCTGTCTCTGCAGTGATCAGGTGACTACTGACTAGAGATGGAAACTACTGGTGGCCACGGGAGCCCTTGGTTGCTCAGGCCTTGACCACATGTGGTTTTTCTCTACACACAGGCTCTCCTTCTGTCATAAGGGGGGATCCTTGCCCTTAAGGCTCAAATGGGGTGGTGCTATTTCTGTGCGAATAAATGCAAAAGAAACTTTAGCAAAAGAGCCAACAGTTGGGGTGCCTGGGTGGCTCAGTAGGTTAACCCTCTGCCTTCAGCTCAGGTCATGATCTCAGGGTCCTGGGATTGAGCCCCCACATCTGGGCTCTCTGCTCAGCAGGGAACCCCCCTCCTCTCTCTCTCTGCTGCCTACTTGTGATGTCTCTCCTTCTGTCAAGTAAATAAATTTTTTTTAAAAAAGAGCCAACAGTAGAGCAAGAAAGCCAGGAACTAGAAGGTAGGATCTTCTGAGTGTTAAACAGAAATTCATCAAAATGCTTGTTTTCAAACAGATAAATAAATGATGGCTAGGTCAGATTATTTTCATACCCCAAGAAAACTGAGATGACTTTTTCAGAAGGAATCTTTAGACTCCACCCTAGGGACAGAAGGTCCTCAAAGAGACTTGGAGAGATTGTTACAGAGGAGGTAAAGCTGAAGCAGGAACCCCACACTTCTTTGATAACTTCCTGATACCCGTTCGTACTCATAGGGCCCTAGAGCTTTTACCTTCATTCCTCTGTCAAGGGACGTGCCTGCGTGGCTCAGTCGGTTGAGTATCTCCCTTGGCTTCAGCTCGAGTTGTGATCCCAGAGTCCTGGGATCAAGCCCCGAATCGGGCTCCCTGCTTGGTGGGGAGCCTGCTTCCCCCTCTCCCTCTGTCTCTCCCCCAGCTTGTGTTGTCTCTGTTGCTCACTTTCTGTCTCTCAAATAAATAAATAAAATCTTTAGGGAAAGAAAAAAATCACTCCTCTGTTGAGAGTATATGCAAAACCAGGTGTCTTGTGCCTTGTTCGGAGGTCAGAAGACAGGCATTGGGAGCTGGCAGAAGTCTGAGTTGGTAGATGTGGAATCCTGAGTGCCACAGGGCCTATGCTGTTAGCCCAGATACACCAAAGCCGCCTGGGCAGAGCAGAGGGAAGCAGCGCCCCCACTGTGAGGACATAGGGCTTTGTTGGCTGTTCTCCCCTTGCCTTATAGTATGACTACATTTGTGAGGTTTTTAAAGTATACAACAAAGATTATGGTTTTTAGCTGTAGAATTTGATAATGATAGGTCTTAATGTTAAGTCCCAGGGGAAAATTGTTCTTGGGTTTTGTGAGTTTTAGATCGTGGAAGGTCTTCAGGAATTTATCCCTCACACTAAAATGAGGTTCCCATGTGTTATCCTGGTGGCGCAGGAAGAAGTTACAGAGTTAGGTACTACACCTGCATCCCCTCCTCCCCAAGCAGTGGTCTGGGGCCTTCAGGGAGTCCAGAGTTTGGAAAGTCTCCACCTTAGTGTCTTCTCTTGTGGGCCCTTGGGCCAAAAAGACTGGTGTGGTGCATGAATCATTTTCCTAAAACACTTGCAAGATTGCACCCCCATTCTCAGGATAGGGAGACCTAGGGCATCTGCTACTCTGATGTCCCACACGAAGTCAAAAGTCTTGGTAGATTGCTTCCCCGTTTCCATTTCCATTCTGACCAAAGATGAGCTGATTATTGTTATGTCATCATTCTTTTCGTCTTTTCTCCAGGATTCAGTTTGCCTGTTCTGTGTGCAAGTTTCGTAGCTTTGAAGATGAAGAAATCCAGAAGCATCTACAAAGCAAATTTCACAAAGAGACACTGAGGTTTATCAGTACCAAACTCCCTGACAAGACGGTGGAGTTCCTCCAGGTAAAGCACACTTGGCCTCAATCACTGTTTCCTGATGGTCCTCCAGGAATTGATCCCTCACAGAGAAGGGAAAGGGAAAGGAAATAAGAGGCCTGGACATTTCAGAATAACAGCATACAAGTTCCAAGTCAGAGGGACAGCTAAGCACTCCAGCCATTGTAGTTCCCATGAGTTGTGCCCACAGAACTGCTCGGACAGGCGTCTTCCCATCTGTGGGGTAGCTGAGACAGAGCTGTCCTCTGCCGGGGGCTTGGTAGCCACCTTGGTACACTGCCTCTGGTGTAGCTAGGAGAGGCACATACACCATGCTGTGCTCGTTTCATTTGGTGACATCTCCTCTAGGAGTACATCGTAAACAGGAACAAGAAAATTGAGAAGCGGCGTCAGGAGTTGATGGACAAGGAAAGCACAAAACCCAAACCAGATCCTTTCAAAGGTGAGTTGTGATGCTGGGGCGCACCATTCCATGTGCTGCTAAGACATGAGGCACAGCGCAGAGCCAGCCCAGCGCAGGGCTGCTGAGGATGTGATGGGAGGATCCTCGGGTGAGACACTTAGCGATGGAAAGAACCTTGTGAGCATGGCCTGATGAATGTCACAGGGCTGCTGGCAGCTTATTGGACTGATAGGAAGCCCTCTGGTGTTTTTTCCTTCTTTGTGTGTGAAAAAAAAATGACGAGAAGGATGAAAAAAGTTGAAGATCCCCAGGTATAGAAGGGCTTCTGTCCGCACACCCATGCTGGAGGGCAGGTTGATGGCCCCACAGATGCTGTCCTAACCTGGTCCTTCAGGACTGCCGGGGAGCATATGGGGGCCCTGCTGGGGGCAGGAGGAGAGCATCACTTGCCAGCTGTCCCAGATCACACCAGACTTGGGTTCTATCTACAGGGATTGGCCAGGAGCACTTTTTCAAGAAGATAGAGGCTGCTCACTGCCTGGCTTGTGACATGCTGATCCCCGCGCAGCATCAGCTCCTCCAGCGGCACCTGCACTCGGTGGACCACAATCACAACCGCCGGGTGAGTCCCCTCCCCGGGCTGGGCCAGGTTGGGACCTACAGTCCGCCAGTGGTGGGGCACAGAGCCTTCTGTGTCTTGCAGGGAATGCTGGCATCTTCAGGCGGTCTTGACGGAGTCCGCTGAGTCTGTGATTTCATCAGTGCTCATAAGAGGCATTCCAGTCTCTACTAAAATGTGAAAAAAATGTGTTACTTAGGGTTGACTTAGAGTAGCTGAAATTCTCCTGGTTGAGAATGTTCCCTTTAAACCACACAAGTGAGTTTCCCAGTTGCTGACAAACTGGGTTTCCTGGGAGCAGAGGCTGAGGGCTGTTCAGAGCACAGTGGCCTAGGGGACCCATAGTTAAGAACTGACTTGGTCCTACTTAGCTGATGGGGCCCAAGACTAAATGTGTAGCTTGGTATTAGCAGAGGTTTTTTGTGTGTGTGTGGTTTTTTTAAAGATTTTATTTATTTATTTGAGAGAGACCATGAGAGGGGAAAAGGTCAGAGGAAGAGACAGACGCCCCATGGAGCAGGGAGCCAGATGTGGGACTGGATCCCGGGACTCCGGAATCGTGACCTGAGCCGAAGGCAGTCGCTTAACCAACTTAGCCATCCAGGAGCCTGGTTTTAGTTGTTTTGTTTTGTTTTTTGTTGTTTTCATAAAGAATCAAATCACAGACTTTGGCTTTGCAGGCCCCAGGGTCTCTACCACCTTAAGGCTGCTGCTGGTGGGCAAAAGCAGCCAGAGTCCAGATGGAAAGCATGGGCGTGGCCACATTTGGCCCATAGCCTCTGGCTTGCTGAGCCCTGTTTTAATGCCTGTCCTTACTCCTGTCTTAGAATCTGCTAGTTTGTGAAAGGTCATGCGGAGAGCATCGTACCAACAAGGGGTTATCTAATTTGAATGGGTCGAGCTCTAAAACAGCCAAGTAGTTGCAGCATTCCTACTTCTGTGGCTGAATTTGTCACTGTAACTCAGAAAACTGAAAAGAATAACTTGCCCTTCTGCTACACCAAGCCCACACAGCACCTGTCTGCAGGTTTCCTCATTCTGTCCTTGCTCATGCACATGGGACCTGGACGTCTGTGGTGTCCTTGTGCTCTTATCTTTTATCAGACTTTTCTGCATTGCCTCATGTTCTCAGTTCCACTATCCCTCCAGGGCCGCCTTTCTCTCATTACTGGAGTTTGGCATCAGAGGACTTGCCATAGTGAAGAGAGATGGTAGTCCTCGTCCTGTCTCGGGCTGACCCCAGGGCAACTCAGGGGAGCCTGGCTAGTTTTTCTTGCCCCCCCGTGTACACCATGTGTAAAAGTTCTCCTTTGGTTCCATTTGCAGTTGGCTGCTGAACAGTTCAAGAAGACCAGTCTCCATGTGGCTAAGAGTGTTTTGAACAACAGACACATAGTGAAGATGCTGGAAAAATATCTCAAGGTTCGTGCTTAGGAGCACAGCGGACAGGAGAAGCTTCTGGAGTACAGGTTGAATCTGCAAGTGTGGAGCTGCATCCAGAGCGCAGTATTTAGCATTTCTGAGTCTTGGGAGGAACGGCCAGGTGCAGGGATGTTTCGGGCCGGGTTTCCTGCACCACCGCGCTTGCCCGGGTCTGGGATATGGTCCTGCTTGGTTGGTCTGCGTGGCGGTGCGGGCTCACCATAAGAAACCTCGAATATCTGAAATACTGAGCAAGTGATGCTGAGGAACTCACAGGGAAATCCAGGTTAGATGATGCTTGTCCAGGAAAGAAGCCAGAAAGACGTTTTGCTGCAGAGGTAGCTATCCGTGAGCCAAGAGCGCGAGGGGGAGGAAGGGCCAGTGCTGCCACAATACTGAGCCTTAGTGACGGGAGCAGAATAGTAGAGTTCCAGACAGGGTGCCCTGGAGCGAAGCCCAGCTGGGACAGCCCCTGCTTCCTCCTTGGGAAGCCCATTTGCTAAACACTTCACCCCCGACTTCAGTGTGGGGGGTGCAGAGTTAAGCACCAGCACAGCCTGACTAGGAGGACCTGTTTGCTAGCCTCTCGGTTCTTAAATTCTTCTCTTCGTGCCAGCTGTTAAAAGCATAGAATCTAAATAACAATTTAAGAATGATGGCTGGTCAGTGCTTTTGTTTGTATTTTATTTTAAAGATTTTTTTTTCTTTTTTTGAGATTTTATTTATTTATTTGACAGAGAGAGAGATGGCAAGAGAGGGAACACAAGCAGGGGGAGTGGGAGAGGGAGAAGCAGGCTCCCCCCTAAGCAGGGAGCCCAGTGCGGGACTTGATCCCAGGACCCTGGAATCACGACCCAAGCCGAAGGCAGATGTTGAACCAACCAAGCCGCTCAGGCACCCCGATTTTTTTTTTCTTAAGTAACCTCTGCACCCAGTGTGGGGCTTGAACTCCTGACCCTGAGGTCAAGAGCCATGTGCTCCTCTGACTGAGCCAGCCAGGCGCCCCCTAAATATTTTTAAAATCCATTTCTTGATCTGCTGCTGATGTTTACATTTCCTAAACTAGAGACAGTTTTAGCTGAATTTTGGCTTCTGAGAGTCAGATTTGGATTCCGTCCTGGCCTTGGGCAGCTTGCTGAGTCTCCTTACCTACAAAATGGGGCAGCTGTGTAACCAGGGCTGTGTACTTAAATGACACGAAAATTTAAAATAGTCTTTTTTGTTTCAATTGGGTTAAGAAATCCTAAGTCTTTTTGAACCTTTCTTCACTATTATATGCTTAAATAAAAAGTGTAAAACGGGGGCAATTGTATTAAATATTTGTAAATAGGGGTGCCTGGGTGGCTCACTAGTCAGTTAAATGTCTGCCTTTCGCTCAGGTCATGATCCCAGGGTTCTGGGATCGAGCGCTGTGTCAGGCTCCCTGCTCAGTGGGGAGTCTGCTGCTTTTTCTGCCCCTCCCTCCCAGGCTTGCTCTCTCACATGCATGCGCTCTCTCTCTCTCTTTTTTTTTTTTTTAAAGATTTTATTTATTTATTTGACAGAAAGAGATCACAAGCAGGCAGAGAGGGAGGCAGAGAGAGAGGGAAGCAGGCTCCCCGCTGAGCAGAGAGCCTGATGCGGGGCTCGATCCCAGGACCCTGGAATCATGACCTGAGCCGAAGGCAGAGGCTTTAACCTGCTGAGCCACCCAGGCGCCCCTCTCTTTTTTTTTTAAGACTTTATTTATTTATTTGTCAGAGAGAGATACAGCAAGAGAGGGAAGGAAAGCAGGGAGAGCATCAGCTGAGGGAGAAGCAGGTTCCCCACTGAGCAGGGAGCTTGACTCGGGGCTTGATCCCAGAATCCTGGGATTATGACCTGAGCCGAAGGCAGACACTTAACCAACTGACTACCCAGGTGTCCCTGTCTCTCTTTCTTAAACAATTAAAGGTCTTTAAAATAAATTAATTAATATTTGTAAATCATTCTAAAATATATTAAAAGCTTTTGAATGAGGGAGGAGAAGTACATCTTTCAAAAACCCATTGTGAATATTAAAATTACTAGTATGCAAAACAAGAATAGCCCCTGATTCTGCCTTCCCCATTCCGCTCTAGTCCTAGCTAACCAAATAAGAAAATAAGAGTTAAAAGACAAAAGGTGCAAAATGGTTGCAGTGAGGCTTTTCTGAGAAGCCTTTTCTGAATCCAGAGGTGCTGAGCACCTGTCGGGCGCACTCCCCTGCTTTAGTGGGAAGTGTTTCTCTTGTTGGCTGTTCAGCATAAAAACACGGCACCCCGGGCCCCCTTCAGGCTCCCTCTGCCCTGACTTATTGCTTTTCCTGGCCAGGGTGAAGACCCTTTCACCAGCGAAGCTGTCGATGCAGAAATCGAAGGAGATGACAATTTAGGAGGTGAGGAGAAGGAGGAGACACCCGAGGAGGTGGCCGCGGAGGTGTTGGCTGAGGTCATTACGGCAGCAGTGAGAGCGGTAGATGGGGAAGGAGCGCCGGCTTCAGCAGGCAGTGACACGCTGGCCCAAGGGGTAGGCCCCACGGACGCAGCCCAAGCCGCTTGCGGTCCCCACTCCGAACACCTGGTGGGAGTGGAGGCACCATGTGGCATGGCCTCCGAGAAGAGCAGCGCTGAAGTGGAGGCAGGAGGTGAAGCTGTCGAGGCCGGAGGGGACATGCAGGCAGCCGCAGCAGAGGCGGAAGGCCCCATGAGGGTCGTGACTCCGGCCCCGGCTGTCACAGAAGCCGAAGCAGAACAGACTGATGCGGACCCCAAAGACGTCCCTCCCACAGAGTGACCCTCCTCCCTGTCACCAGGGATGTGTTTCATCACGCATTGCTCTTTTCTCCTTTTGTTTGTAAGCAGAACTAGGGTGTGTGTTTCTGGAACATGCTGGAAACTTTGGTGAAGAGACCCAGCCATTTGCTTCAAAAAAGTGTACCTCACGGGCTTGTGTTCTAGAGTTGTATGGCTTTCTGCCTCGGTTCGAAGGCTGCAGAAGTTGTACATTCCCCATGGCTGTGAAGTCTCTCCACACTGCAGTTGGAATAATAAAAGTTGGGTAATTAGATTTTGATGATATTTTACTTGTTAAATACAGCAGCTGGCTGAATGCCCTTTTTATTTTATTTTTTTTCTGAGAGCAGCTTAATACTGGGATGTATCTTGCTTTATACAGGATTTTTTTTTTTTTTTTTTTTTTTTAAGTTTTAAGACTTGGCTTTGGCTTCAGTTTTTGACCTGCTTCGGTAGCACACTGCGTGTGGTGTGTGATCCTCACAAGATGTAGTGGGATCTTGTGAATGCGACGTTGGTTCTGGCATATCCATGAGCTCTGCTCGAAGGCCTCATGAATTTGGTGGACCTGCGTCCTCGGATGCCTGCCCACCAGCCCCTCCAGAATGAGGACGTTATGCCTAGGGCATTATTCTCCCAATCTCTGTAGTCTCTGGTGAATCACTCTAGTTTGGAGGGTTTTTGTGTTTGTTTCCCCCCCCCTTTTTTTTTTTAACCTCATTTGTGTTTCTCTGTTATTTCAGGGATTTTGTTTCTGTTTTTCCTTTAAATTGAGTTACTACTCCCTAAGTATATTTAAAAACAAAAAAAACTTAGTGTCACTCCCATGAATAGAAAATATATAAATTGCCATAGATAGATGCTATCTGTAAGAAATGAATATAGTGAAATAAACACATTTCAGATAAATACTATTCCTTTAGAGGTTTCTGAATCTGTGGGAAAGGAAAGCTGGCACGTGTTAAAGGATGGCAAGCAACAGTCACTCTTTCATATAATCAAAAGAAGTGAAAGATACTTCCCTCTGGAAATGCTGCTTCTGGGTCTGTTTTCCCTGCAAACCCTTAACAGTCTCCCTGGGGGAAGCATTGGCCAGAGGGAACTGGCAAGATGGTAGGAGACTCCATGAGTATCTACTGCGTACCAGGTGCTCATTCATGATAAAAGTGAGAGACAGGCCCTGCTCTCAAGGACCTGAACTGGAAATGCGAGATGAATATTTATGAAAAGTCAGTATAAGAATTAGAAACAAATAAATTGCTCAGTAAGCAAGAAAATGGTGTCTCTGAATTGTCTGTGCCCGTCGCCACTACTGTTAGCATCACTACTGTTACATTGGTGTGCCTTACCCACAACCCACAGGTTGCGGGTGCCCTTTGAAGTTTTCTTCTCTTGAGGCAAAAAGGTTGGTGGCATTGAACGTCAGTAGTCTCAGAAAGGGTAACAGAACTCTGAAACTGCTCTTTTGTCTCTCGTAAATAATCCGAGGCCTAGCCTTAAACCAATCTAAATTTCAGCATAGTTCTTCCCCTCTCGCCCAGTGTGAAAGGACACAAATCATTTTACTTCTAAACTTGGCTTAAACCAGGCCCTCATTCCCCAAGATGGGAGTAAGTACTTGGATTGCACTAAGGGATGCCCTTCAGTCTCCTGAGGGGACAGGAATAACCTGCAGGTCCCTCACTTTAGTCATTTTCCCACTGGTCGACGAGAAACCTGAGGGGAAGTGTAAGTAACTTTTAGGGTCCTCTCCTGAAGATGTGCAGGTAACCCAAATTAATGCACACATAATGTGAGACACCAATGGCCCTGAACTTTATAGAGACCTTTTTTTTTTTTTTTTTTTTTTTTTTTAAGAAGGTTAGGGGGTGAGGCATCTGGGTGACTGTTAAGCAGCTGCCTTCAGCTCAGGTCATGATCTCCAGGTCCTGGGTCGGGCTCCCTGTTCAGGGGACAGTCTGCTTTTTCCCTTTCCCGCTTCCTGCTCCCACACTCTCAAGTAAAAAATCTTCAAAAAAAAAAAAAAAAAAAAAAAGGTTTATAGGATTTGGCAATCCCTGCTATTCCCAAGCCAAAATATCTCAGAAATGGCAGCCTGATGTCAGCTTCATTGTGGACCTGTGTGATTTCACTGGGGGTTTTATGAAATTAATTCAGTTGCTAAAGGGGGAAATACCACAGTGTAATGAGTAAAGTACTCGTTCCAGAGGACATCAGGGGCACCTGGCTTGTTCGGTTGGAAGAACATGCAACTGTTGATCTCAGGGTCACAAATTTGAGAGGCACAGTCATTACATGTAGAGATCACTAAAAAAAAAAAAAAAGTAAAAGTGCATAGTCTGGGGTACCTGAGTACCCCAATTAAGTGTCCTCTTTTATTTTTTTTTTTCTAAAGATGTTATTTATTTATTAGAACACAAGCAAGGGGAGTGGTAGCCAGAGAGAGAGGGAGAAGCAGGCTCCCTGCAGAGCAGGGGAAGCCCAATACAGGACTCCAGGATCATGACCTGAGCTGAAGGCAGTGGCTTAACCAACTGAGCCATCCAGGCGCCCAAGTGTCCTCTTGATTTCGGCTCAGGTCATGATCCCGGGCCGTGAGATTGAGCCCGGCCTTGGGCTCCTCACTGGAGCCTGCTTGGGATTCTCTCTCTCATCCACTCTGTTCCTACTTCTCTTTTAAAAATAAAAATGCATTATCAATATTAATAAGTCTTCTCCAATTAAATTTTGGACCATAAAAAACCATTTCCACTGCCCAACAACTTGGCTGAAAGAGGGTCTTGCTTACTACAAGTGTGCCCAGTAGTGATTAGACAGGCACAGTGACATTCAAGTAGAACCTCAGAACCAACAGTAGAAGAGCCATTCAGCATTTTTTGGAAGTAGCATCCTTGGAGCATTTCATAGATGGGTATAGAAAACACGGTGTGGCTTTATACTGATTTAATACTGATGGTTCTTGGGTCATGGTGAAAGTATTGGTGGGGGGGCACCTGGGTGGCTCAGTTTAAGCATCTGCCTTCAGCTCAGGTCATGATCTCAGGGTCCTGGGACTGAGACTTACATCGGGCTCCCTGCTCAGCGAGAGCAGGGAGCGTGCATGAGTGGGTACGTGTACACACTGTGTCAAATAAAATGTTTTTAAAAAAGTATTCAGCCACTTCCTTTATCTTTTTTTTTTTTTTTTAAGATTGTATTTATTTATTTGACAGAGATCACAAGCAGGCAGACAGGCAGCCAGAGGGCGGGGGAGGAGGGGAAGCAGGCTCCCCACCAAGCAGGGAGCCGGATGGGGGACTTGATCCCAGAACCCTGAGACCATAACCTGAGCCGAAGGCAGAGGCTTAACCCACTGAGCCACCCAGGCGCCCCTCCATTAACCATTTTAAAGCGGACAGCGCAGAGGCATCTGGTACACTCACCACCTGCAACTGGTTCTCAGACATTTTCCTCACCCTAAAAGGAAACTGCACGCCCCCATTGGCACTAATCCCATTCCTCCCTCCCCCATCCCCTGACAACCAGTAATCTGCTTTGTGTCTTGGATTTATTTGGTCTGGACGTTTCATGCAGAGGGAACCATACACTACATGACCATGGCTTCTTCCACGAAGCCTGTTTTGGAGGTTCCCCCGTGCTGGAGCCTGGATCAGTACATCATTCCGTTGCATGGCTGAATAGTACTCTACTGCATGTATATACCCCATCTGTTTATCCAGTCATCCAATAAGAGAGATTTGAGTTCCCACATTTATGACTATTTTGAATAGTGCTGCTAGGAACATCCTTGAACAGGTATCTGTATACTCGTTTTTAATTCTTTGGGATACACACCTAGGAGTGGAATTATATCATAGGGTAATTCTTTAATTTTCCAAGGAACCGCCACATTTTTCCGCCACAATAGCTGTACCATTTTACATTTCCATCAGAAATGTACAAGAGTTGCAATTTCTTCACATCCTTACTGATACTTCCATTTTTTCCCCCACTTCTGGCCATCCTAGTAGGTGTGAAGTGGTATCTCATTACAGTTTTGATTTGCACTTTTTTTTTTAAGATTTTTATTTATTTGACAGATCACAAGTAGGCAGAGAGGCAGGCAGAGAGAGAGAGGAGGAGGAGGCAAGCTCCCCGCTGAGCAGAGAGCCCGATGTGAGGCTCGATCCCAGGACCCTGGGATCATGACCTGAGCCGAAGGCAGAGGCTTTAACCACTGAGCCACCCAGGCGCCCCTGCACTTTTTTTTTTTTTTAATTTTATTTATTTGGCTATCAGACACATGAAAAAATGTTCATCACTAGCCATCAGGGAGATTCAAATTAAAACCACATTGAGATACCACCTTACACCAGTTAGAATGGCCAAAATTAGCAAGACAGGAAACAACGTGTGTTGGAGAGGATGTGGAGAAAGGGGAACTCTCTTACACTGTTGGTGGGAATGCAAGTTGGTGCAGCCACTTTGGAGAACAGTGTGGAGATTCCTCAAGAAATTAAAAATAGAGCTTCCCTATGACCCTGCAATTGCACTACTGGGTATTTATCCCAAAGATACAGATGTAGTGAAAAGAAGGGCCATCTGTACCCCAATGTTTATAGCAGCAATGGCCACGGTCGCCAAACTGTGGAAAGAACCAAGATGCCCTTCAACGGACGAATGGATAAGGAAGATGTGGTCCATATACACTATGGAGTATTATGCCTCCATCAGAAAGGATGAATACCCAACTTTTGTAGCAACATGGATGGGACCAGAAGAGATTATGCTGAGTGAAATAAGTCAAACAGAGAGAGTCAATTATCATATGGTTTCACTTATTTGTGGAGCATAACTAATAACATGGAGGACATGGGGAGATGGAGAGGAGAAGGGAGTTGAGGGAAATTGGAAGGGGAGATGAACCATGAGAGACTATGGACTCTGAAAAACAATCTGAGGGTTTTGAAGGGGCAGGGGGTGGGAGGTCAGGGGAGCCAGGTGGTGGGTATTATAGAGAGCACGTATTGCATGGAGCACTGGGTGTGGTGCATGAACAATGAATTCTGTTACACTGAAAAAAATTTTAAAAACATAAAAAAAATAGATTTTATTTATTTATTTGACAGAAATCACAAGTAGGCAGAGAGGCAAGCAGAGAGAGAGGTGGAAGCAGGCTCCCTGCTGAGCAGGGAGCCTGACATGGGGCTCCATCCCAGGACTCCTGGAAGGCAGAGAGGCTTAACCCACTGAGCCACCCGGGGACCCTGATTTGCATTTCCTGATGACTACTGATGGTGGACATTCCTTCATGGGCTTGTTGATCATTTGTTTACATTTGGAGAAATGCCTATTCAAATTCTTTGCCTGGTGTGTGTGTGTGTGTGTGTGTGTGTGTGTGTGTGTGTGTGTGTGTGTA